AGCCTAGTCCTATACATAATAACAAGTTCTATGTTGAGTTGTGCCCTCAAATATAAGTCAGCTATCATAGTGATTTTGCAGCTATAGAGGTGTGTAATGCTTGAGTTGAGAACTATGAGCTATAAATAAAGGATTCTCATCTTATTTGAGTCTCCCCTAAATGAGTAGTGCTAAAATAGCGCAAAATAGTACTACAGTAGTGCAAAATAGCGAAAATTAGAGGACCACATTTGCAGTAGTGCTATAGTAGTATCATGTTGGCACTACATGGCACTATAGAAAAAGCGATAGTGAAGAGTAGTTATAACTAGTACCAAGTATACTAATTAGTGCTTAGTTGCACTACTGAAGAAGTGCGTCTGAATAGTAGCTCTAATGTAGATGTCATCTCTGCTAACACTTGCTAATATAGATGAGATTATCTGAATAGTGATAATTAGTGTCAATTCGCAAAGGCTGTTTTTCCAGATGTGGAGCGCCCAAAGCAAGAGGCTGCGGGGGATCAGCGCCGGGGGCATTGCCTTGCTGGCCCAGGTATGGCGGCGGCGGCGGCGGCAGAGGTGGGAAATGCCCTGCATTGAGGGCGGCCATGGTGTACGCGACAGCTACCTCCTCGGGACGGGGGGGAGGCATAGGCCCCATCCCGAGGAGAAAACGAGCAACAGGCAATTGGTCTCGCTGCCGGCCTTGAGGAACCGGATGGTTGTTGCTGTTGAGATCTTGGAAGGGGCCGTGGTCGTGCTGCACGCTCCGAGTACGGGCACCTGGGAATAGAAGCAGGATAGCAACGTAAGTGAACGTGGCAAGAGGACAGAGCGCGACACCGGCCAGGCAAACGCCCGTACCTACTGTTTCGGGAAGGCAGCCAAACAAGACACGCGCGCACAGAGCGGGCCCGAACGCTCTATGTTTTTGCAGTTAGCTGTCATACACCTTGCCATGCAACATGCCTGAACAAAAGCCAGGGAACAGTAACTCATGCTCAACTATAAGGAGCATGTACTGAAAAAACTGGGAGAACAGTCACAGCAGACTATGCAGATCCAAGGGGCGTAAAATCAGGAAAATGCGCTGCCGTCAACACCGGAGGTACACTTCTTCCCCAACTGGGTGGTTCCTGCATGCTGCCTGACAGAGCATAATGTTGGAATCCTGGTGTCAAGATGGCGATCTCGCGGAACGAGCGCCACAGGTCCCGCCCCCCCCCCCGACTGGATACCCGCGCCATTATCTACCCCTATTTAGCTATGTATATAAGCCTTATTGTATCTACTGTGTACGGCACGCGTTTGCACGAGCCAAACGCGAATCCCATTTAATAAACTCGGGGCTGTGAAGACAAAGATTAGATCCGACTAGAGTCGAAGCAAGATCTTCAGTCAGTAAGGAAAGACTATATTGCAGTAACCAACTGTACCTAGAGTCGAAGCAAGACTACAAAGGTCAAGTAAGTAACTACAAGTTAGAGATAGATGTAATGAAGTACTCACTCTTCAGTCAGTAAGGAAAGACTGAAGAGGGAGGACGCAATCTGAAGTCCTTATATACTACAGAGAAGTGTCCATGACTAATCGAAGAGTGGTTAGTCACATGTACCATAGTGCGATGAATAATACGATGGTGAAAGAATTGCGACGTATCGCACCATAGGATGAGTAAGAGATGAGTAAGACATAGACCTGTCTAGACCGTTCTGGAGTAGTACGGATTGTCCTAGACAGTACCAGAAGAGTCCGGAAGCATAGCTATAGTACACGAGC